AAAATGCACTGTCTCATATGGCTAAAAATACAGTATGGATTCTTTTATGAGAATAGCTACTGTGCCATGGAATGCATGTACGATCGGGGCCAAGACGTCAGATTTACATTCGTTGCTCAATGTCTCCCTCGTCTCATATATAGATACCACAGTTGGACTAAACGCTTCACAACACCCAATCGGAGAAGCCAATTTAGGTTGCGCCGCCTACTTCTTCAGCGTTCTTTACAGCGTGCATGTGAAAGTTCACGCCATATTAACCCACCGCATTTCCAGAATAAGGGCAGAAGGGCGCTCACGTCCCGACGACGAGTGATGGCGATAAGAAACGCCTTCGGCGCATGGTTTTAAATCGCACTAAAGAATGTACACGTTTTATACATATGCCACGAAGACTCGAGCCCGGAATAGACAATCATCAGTTATGACAGGACGTCACCACCCGATCGTGTAAGCACGGATGCCGAAGACCAATTATAACCCGGATCGTTGTGGCTACCTGTACAAACATGTTATTCACCAGTCGGGCAACACCGGAACATAGATCATTGAAACGTATCGTCCATGCTACTTCCGTCATTTTGGTATGGCTCAACATGGAATTGTGGCATACCAGCAGAGCTATGGTATTCTGGCTAAAGACTATATTACTGCAAGCTTTCCTTCATTCACATCCTAATGATTTTTCCCTCATGAACCTTTTAAAAATATTCTACAAAATTATTCCTTGACCATTTTCAAGCATCTCTTTGAAATTAAGCTTTCACAAGGAAGCCTACTGTGTTGTTCGTGTTCAGTTATTGCTCGCCTGTTGTTTCTGCGTGCAGGACAGATATAACCATTACTATTGTTAGCATGGCTGTGTTTATTGCAGTTATCGACCGAAACCAGCTTTAAGGAACGAGTGGTAGTTAGTTCCAAATACAATTTTGATAGAAGAGAATCTAAAGTTGTTTTCAAGAATATGCACTCGTTTCACAAACATCTGACTTGAGTGTAATGGCTTCAATGACATCAAATTGCGAATAATAAATTGAACCATTTCTATAAAGATATGTTATAATTATATGGTATGTGGAAATGTACATGTCAGTATAAGTCTGTGGCTCGTCGTGGGGATCCCTTGCTCTTGCTTGTGTTAGAGCTGCCTTAAAGAGTGATAGGATTGCTTTCTTGGTCGCAGCGTGTAACAGTGTTCCGCTGTAATAAAGTTGGTCATCAAGAAGTTGTTATCCTTCCTTATTAAGTTCTAACTACTGAATGCCTGCTATGTCCGTATCTCGTTGTTGACTACTTT